CCAACAACTATCGTGGACGTTACTACTGAAATCGATATTGAATCCACCACCATTGTCAGCCCGACCACTATTGTCGACACTACCACTGTGGTCAGTCCAACGACTATCGTGGATGTTACCACTGAAACAGATATCGAATCCACCACCATTGTTAGCCCGACTACTATTGTTGAAACAACTACCGTGATTCGGCCAACAACTATTGTGGTTCCGACAACACTAGTGAGCTTGAGTACCGCCGTGAGCATTGAATCGAGCACTATCACAGACACGGTACCCACCACCATCATCAGCGTGAGCGCCACAACAGATACGATCTCGACTTACCCAGGTCTCGTCACGTGTACTTCGAGGATCATCAACCCCACTTATACTCCCAAATCTCCTTTACCCACCAACTACCTTTGGGGATGTGCGCCTGGCACTATCTGTACTCCTCCACAGATCGGCTGTAACTGGGAACAAAACCCCCCTGCTGATACATATGTCTGCGCCCCGGAAGAATGCAAGCCCGTTCCAGAGCTCTTCTTGCCGGCGAACCTGAGCTCACTCTGGCCGAACAGGATTGACACCACGTGCGCTTGGGATGAACCAGCCGAAGGCTACTTCCACCTCAACCCACAGCATTTTAATCTCACCTTCGCCATCTTCGATGTCCTCGGTCAGCCCCTTTGCCCGGCTCCGACTACGACAACTACTTGGGCTGACTGGACCTCTTCTCCACCTAAGCCGACATCTACATGGGCTCCCAAGATGCCGCGACGTGGACTAATGGCAAACCCGCTCGCTGAGATTGTGAGTCGACAGACGCTCCTCAACCCACCAGCGCAGTGCTACCGCATCTTTGATGCTGCAAACACAATTGGCCAAAACGTAGGCCTGAACTATCCGGAGCTCTGTCCCTCTACCACACAATTCCAGCAAGCCATCGGCCAGTGTCAGACCTGCTCGCGAGAGAATGCTGGCGGTGCAACAGGCGCCCAAACATTCCCAGAGCTTCAGATGTACTTCACCTGGTGCAACACTCATACTTCGTGAAGGGAGGGACTATATCGTAATAACAGCGCGATTTCAACTTTTGCCTAGTCAAGCACGGGACACTAGCGGTATTCTCCAATGTGTCGTTGAAGCTTGATAACGCAGTCGCTCATCGGCTCATGATGCCGTGGCTGAAATCCTTTGCATGCCCCTCGATCAAGTGGCTATGAAACATGGCCGAGCTCCTGTAGAGCAGCATATACTGAGAAGCATCTCTTTCCTTGTTGTATATACCCCACCACTGCACCACCTCCTCCCAACCTTGCTATCAGTGCTGCCTGGCAGGATTCGCGGATTTTGCACAAAAGCATTTGAAAGAGGGTTGTTTTGGCCCCGACGAAATCGATGACCCAATTGGTACGGAAAGGAACGACGTCACTCCTTCACGATGGAACATACAAGAGACACAGATAATGCTAATACATATGGTGAAAAACATGGCTGTAACTGTTCTTTTCTTTCTGCTTTGAGGTAAATTCAAGCATGTAGAAAGCCTCGAGCTTCCCAGCTACTGTTGTTCAGCTCAACACACTTGCCGGTGTCGTGCCCACGCAATTGCACCAGCGTGAATCCTGGCAACCAAACGCCTCCAAGCTGAACATAACCTGACCGTCTACTCAATCGGACGCCTACCGAGAACTTTCCGTTGTAGCTGCTCGCCTCGTCCATTCGGTATGTCAGTTTCTAGGCGCCTTCGAAAGTAAACGTGGTCACCGGCTCTGCAGTAAGATCTCACTTCCCTGCTGCTACCTTGCCGTGAACCAGTTGCTTAAGCATCCGGGGCACCCTGCGCTTTTTCAAGTCCTCGAGACGAATGTAAGAATGCAACTTCACGGACTCGGATGAACCCCGAGAAGCCCCCACCGACTGGTTGAGGCCGGTCTATCCCCCAAAGAGATCTCGTGGACCCCGTAGCCTCTCGGCACAATTCAACCCGGTTTGGACGAGAATATGTACATACTAAATAGTAATTATGGATAGTTGGAGAGGGAATTCAGAGCAGATAATCCAGACAACAGCGCGTGGAAACAAGAGAAAGTAAGCACCAACAGCAGAGCATTGTCCACCGGGGAATGCGAATCCATATGTTTTCCGATCCCTTGAACGTTGCTGTCGAGTTCTCCCATGTGTTCTTGGAAAATGAACAGCGGGTCAGACGGTAGGCATCATGCACACAACCTCTGCCAGGCACGGAGAATGTGTACCTTGTACTGTCGAACCAGCTGGCTGTTATTGGACTACATGTCAAAGGACGAAGGATGATGAAACAAACCTTCCCGGACCAGATCCAGTGGTGCTGCGAACACGCCCCAAATAGAACATTGTGGAACAGACATGAAGGATACGTCCATCGCTACGGCTGTTGACCGGTGAGTCGACCGGATACCGACTTGCGGCATTAGTCTGCGCCAATTCCTGCTGTGGACAGATAGCTGCAGTTGATCTCCAACACAAGGCTTGATGCTGCTCCTTATGAAACACCAGAAAAACGTACCAGTGTCGAGTATGATTTTCATGAGGGAACTTAAGACGATGGGAATTCTTTTCTACCTAGGTATTCAATACAAAAGATGGTCGACAAACGGGAGCCATCTGTGCAGCAGTGCGTACCCCTTGTCACATCCCGAAATCTATCTCGAAATCTATCTCGAAATCTAAGTTCTACCTGCCATTCTCCCACGTTCACGGCGAACGAGGTACATTTGCTGGTTTCTCAAGGTGTTCACCATCTGAGCTGGGTACATCTCGGTGGTTAGGGGTGTCTTGCTCGAGACCATTGACAACGTCCCGGGATAACTCGACATACTACCAAAAGTCAGCAACTGCAGCCAGTATAGATCGTCGGGGGATACTCACGTCGTAAGCAAATTCGCCGATCTCGGTCTCGTCCATGCCCATGATCTCCTCTTGCTCAGACGCACGAAGATGCAGGCCCGGGATGAAGTTGAGAACAAACAGGATGATGCAACTGAGGACGAAGGAATAGGCCATTCCTGTGACACCATCGCAGAGCTGATAAGCCAGTTGAATCCAGTGATGATTGAGCCAACCACCGTTGATTACGGTGGCTCCATCTAGATGAGCGATGTAGTCCGCCGCGAAGAGTCCGGTCAAGAGGTCTCCGACAAGGCCACCAACGCCGTGAATTGCAAATATGTCGAGGGAGTCATCGATGTGAAGGAGGAACTTGAGCTTGGTGGCATAGTTGCAGGCAGCGCCACCTACAACACCGAAAACGACAGCAGCCCAGGCGGGAACGAAGCCACTACCCGGAGTGATAGCAACTAAGCCTGCAATGACACCACTGCAGAAGCCGACGGTGGACCATTTGCGCTCCAAACGGTAGTCAAGAATGCACCAAGTCAGGCCGCCGACGCTCGCTGCCAAGTTGGTGACAACAGCAGCCATGATGGCACGGAGATTGGCAGACAAAGCGGAACCAGCATTGAATCCGAACCACCTAAAGAGCAATTAGTCTAGGCTTGGTCCCAAAAAGCGAACAGACCACGTACCCAACCCAGAGAAAGACGGTGCCAATGACTATGTGTGTGACGTTGTGTGGGCGATAGTTCAGCTCGTGAGTGCCGTGGCCACGACGCTTTCCCAGCATGAGAGAGTAGGCCAGAGCAGCAGCACCGGACGAAATGTGGACAGGAGTACCACCAGCAAAATCAAGACCACCCATCTTGAAGACCCACCCCGAAGAATTCCACGTCCAGCAGGCGATAGGGTCGTAGACGACAGTTGCCCAGACGAAGGAGAAAACCATGGCAGGCAGCATCCGTCCACGTTCGGCAGCGGCACCGATAGCTAAGGCGACCGTGATCGCAGCGAACATCCCTTGGTACACGGCGAACATGAGATCGGGGATCTTGCTTGATCCAACAGAGGGAGCCCCAAGGACATTGCGGAAGCCAAAGTTTTCCAGATCTCCAATGAATTTACCGGCCGTGTGGGAGAAGGTCAGGGAATAACCCCAGAAGAACCACTGAAAGGAAATCAAGGCTGTAGCTGCGACGGACAGCCATATAAGTGACAGTGCGGATTTCCGTCGCGCAAGGCCGGAGTAGAAGAAGCTGTGATTCGCTTGTCAGCAAATCGGCCTACACCGAAGTCGACAAGAGCATACCCAACACCGGGAATCATGAGCAGCACCAAAGCTGTGGCTGTGATCATCCAGGCAATGTCGCCGGCATTGTAATAGACATTGAGATCCTCGGTGAGAGAATCACCGCCAGTCATTGTCGTTCCTGCGGCGACGAGATTCTATTAGTTGGGGTCTTTTTTCTCGACACACCTAGGCAGCGATCTGTGTATACGAGGAAAGGGGATACATCTCGTACCATTGTAGACCTCCAGAGGAACATAGGGAAGTGATCCCAGATCCTCTGTCGACATCTTGACCGTTTTCTTAGGTTAGGAAGATCGACTGGTGAGGCGCCTGAGCCAATTGGAAGGAGTAACCGCGGCGAAATCTCAGGGGCTCGAAAAGTGTGGGCGGATGAGTGAAAGCATCAACAGTGGAATGGCAATGGATGCAGAAATCCCTTGAATAACTCGCATTCAAAAGTTGACACCAGTGAAAAGAACAAAGCAAGGTGTCGAAAGTTTGAAAGAAAGTCGGAACAGTTGGGAAAAGGAAGGATTGAAAACAAAATTGAACCTGGCAAAAGCAACGAATATAGGACAGGGAACGAGGCCGAGTGGTAAAGTGCCACCACTGTCCACCATGTTGACCTGATCGTGTTACCTACAGGGCTTGGGTCTGGCTCAGGGCAGCTCTTGGCATGTCCTTCTGGCCCAGGGAAAAATGCGTGAGACCCGAAGCAGAGTTCGCCGGACAGCCCCCGTTACGCCCCGGGAGCCCCTGAAGGAGACCTGAGGGCGGAGGTGATAGGCTGGATGGGCCTGGAAGAGCCCGGGAAGAGCCGGGCTAAGCCCATGGCAGACGCCACCCAAGGAGATTCGCAGTGGGCAAGGCCATTGCAATAATAATAGTCTTGACAAAGCAGCTCAGGTTGCCTGTGGGCTGATTTACTCGTAACGCTCTTGTCTCCCATGCAGAACAGCCAAGAGCAGCGCCCTGCCAGTGTCCATCACCTCATGCCTAGAAACGCGGACAGAAAGCTGCGGGGCCGAAGAGATAGACACCCGTACACAGTACTCCCCCCTCGCGACTGTGCAGCGGGGTTTTGACTTCCTTTACCTTCCCGTCTTACTCAGAGCAAGGAAATTTCCAGGTCATCCTACGCTGCTGGTAATGTGGACGCCGTCTCTTCCAGTCCATCACCAACGGCGCATAGGTAGGTGCTGGTTTTGATCGTTGCCTCGTGTCGACCTTCAGCCCAACGGCCCAAGATATCTGGGATCCAAGGCTGCCTCGTGCTTTTCGCCTACTAGTCGTCGCTAAAAATTGAAGGTTGCATAAGCCCCAAACTCCAAGTTCGCCAGGCACATTACGAGTCGGGCGTCGCCTGGGGCGTGGAGCCCACGGAGTACTCACAATTCTGGGCGAGATAAGCAGATGACTCTCGATTGGCTCAAATGCAGATCCAAGCCCGGGGCCACCATGGCGACTCCCAGCACATCTCCACACAGATAACGAACTGGACGTTTTGGGTACTGTTTCATCGCGCTCGGCTACTGGTCTTGCCGTGCCATAATACAAATTTGTACCAAGTACCTAAAGAGTGCCTCATACAGAGTACCAGGTACTCAGAACCTGCACAAGTCTTTGACCTCTGCGCCAATACTTACTACTCATCATCAACAGACCATCTCTGCGAAGTCGTCCCACCAGACTCACACTCTTTTTGCGGGCCAGAGACGGATCTACGGTACTCGGCACCCACTCGGTACATATGATCTGCGTGACATTCACCTGGCGCGCTGCTGACCGAGACGGTGGTGGAATCTCTTCCTTTTGGATGCAACAATGTCATCGAGGTATAGTCCATACCTCACTTACCTAGTAGGTTCATAGACGGATGCGAAGGCGCCCCAACTTTGTTGTGATCTTGAGGCCATCGAATTTGCTCTCTGAAAGTGGCCAGGCGTCTTGTTTAGAGCGGGCACTGACGATATGTGCGATTGAAACCCAGCTCCTCTGCCTGTCTGTTGGAAACACAGCATGTAGTCCCAAGCCACTTCGCTCGATGATCGGAGCCGGGCAAGCAACCAGACAACCCAGTCTGTTGCACCCAAGAAGCTCGTCGTAAGTCGGGCATCGCACGGCGAATTGCCAAAGGTCTGCAAGCCCACCTGGGCTTGCTAGGTACGTTCTTGGCCGCAGAGAGTCACCGATTTGTATTCTTGTTCGAATACCATCCCGGGCTCCGTGCGAGGTGCGCTCATCCGCGGACCTCACGTGCGTTGGTCAAGGAACAAGACGACACGAATCGCCTGCAGTCTGTATGTTGTCAGTGTTGCTAGTAGAGCTTGTTGTGCTGCTCTCCCCTCCCGCTTGCCCCCAAGACCATTGACGCGCGGTGTTCTGATGACCCTCTTCCTGCCGAGCCTTGCTGCGAAGGGGCGTGAACTGTGCTTGTCCTGGTTCGAGTGAGAGGTTAGCGGTCGCTTCTTTGTGGGACAGTATAGTTTCTGCTCGAGGAAGAGTCGCGGAGTCTGCGAGGGCGCAGCAGTTGATGGCCCCTTCGGATGTATGAGGAACGACTGTTTACACGGACAGCGATCTGAGAGAGGAAAAAGAGCTTTCTTCAGTGTAGAAGTCCGCGGATATTGGTATTTGTGGACAGAGGTCTGGAGTGGTAGCACAAACGTCATGACTTGCGATTCGCGTCGGGTCACGGTATCTCGATCTTGACACACCTAACCGCACCTATCATCGGATTTGGTCTATTATCGTAAATAATCGGTGACCGAGTTGGGAAAAAGTGTGACTTGATCAAGTACGAGATCAAAGACGACGTTTCAAAAGCGTCAAAACAGCCACTGTAGAACGAGCCCGCCATCCTGCCAGGTTTTTTGTCAATCGAAGTGGGATGGGCGAATAGTGGGCGGGTAATAAAGCAGGCTGCTCTCCATGCGCGGATCCAAGATCCAGGCAATCAGTCATCCTTCATCGGCGACTCATCGATGGGGAGGCGACAACGGGAGGGACGGCACTGGACACCATCGTGAGACGCGTGCCCGTGGAGATTGGCATCGACGTGATACTTTGCCTTCAGATTTTTATCCTTATCCTGCTCTGAAGTTGCCTCGAAATCCATGTTATAACCATCAACATTGCCCTTGCAAGCCCCTTTAATGCGGCGAGATAGAGTTTCTGAGGAACTCTTCTCCGCACCAGGGCTCAGCAACCAGTTGGCAGTCATTGCAGCCATGCCTCAGTCAGCAGCAAGCCAACCAATTCCAATCCCCGTTGGAGTTATCCATCAGCCACACGTTGCCGCTGCCACGACTGCCAGCGCTCCTCTTCCCGCTGCTCCCGACTTGCAGCCAGCACCGCTACATCCATCGTTATCCCAACCGGTTCAGAGTCAGTCTCAAGTTGTCGCTCCTTTACCTGTGCGTCCTGTCAGTCTCCCGAGATTTGGACCCCGTGTCCCCAAGACCGAAGAGCAACGCCTCGAAGAAGGTCGCTTGCCCCTCGTCATGGAGCATGAAGAGATGCCAATGCATCGTCCGAGCGGCGGCTCTTCTTCTGGATCTGATGAAGACGCCATCCCGTCATCTGCCTATGCGTATCCTACTACTTCTTACGACAACCCTGAAGGCCCCGTAACCTACACTCCTACCTCCTCCATCTCGGCGTATACACCCTCGACGGGATTTTCGTCGGGTCTATCCTCTTGGGGCTCCTATGGACCAAGACCAAGAGGCGGGAGCGGAGGACCTCAGAACATGGACCGATCTTTCTCGGAGAGCGCTCAGAGTGCAATTTCAGATCTGCGAGGCGCAAGGCCTGGCGCTCCTCTCCGGACACCTTCGAACACCTATGCACCTCCACGGAAACCTCCCCAATTTCTGTCGCTGAATTCTAAGAGAATGCATTCGTCAAATACCATGCGGAGCACGAGGAGGGACCCGAATGCGCAGTACAAGGCGCAGGAGAAGGCTTACGTACAGCGAGTCCGGCAACAACCGCAAGATTGGCTTGATAATGATCCTCGAACACCCAGTATTGGATACAGTACGGATGACGAGACCGACGACGAATCGCCGTCAGGCGAACACGCGTTCGACGATCCGTACGATCCGGAAACACTAATGTTCTTGGGCAACGAGGAAAACCTCCAGCCGACAGAGGAGGAACTGCAGAATTCCGAGAACAGAGAGCGACTCGAGTGGCATTCGATGCTGGCCTCTGTGCTCAAGGGTGATGTGGTCAAGCAGGAAAAACAAAGGCTGATTGGCACAACCGAGCAGAAGAGCAATGCGGAATTGGGCGCCGAGATCTGGCTGGGTGCAAGAGCAAAATATTACGGTCGGCCGTTGCAGATGCAGAAGAAGCTTATAGAAGAAGGCCGCGCACACATCGGGCCCATCATCGAACAAATTATCGCCTTTGAAATCAAGGGTGAGACGGTGGTGGGCAAGTCACCACTGGAACAAGTTGAGGAGGCAGTGGCAAACATCGAGAAGTGCGAATGGCTATATCCTTCGCGGAGGGAACTCGAAGCTGCCCAGAGCAGAGCTGCCTCTGATGCTTTCAAACAAAGTTGCGACGCCATCATCTCCTGGCACAACATCACGCAATCCATCAACACAGAGCTTGCTGTCCTTCAGGCTTGGGTGGGGAATTCCGAGTTGGATTTTACCAGGCAAAAACGTCGGTCCAGCAGCGACGGCGACCTCTCGGACGAATCCTCATTCATCGACCGGATCCTCAAAGAGGATGGCCTGAAATCGCTTCAGGGTGATAAAAGCATGTTCCTGGCGATTAGCGAGGTCATCACGAAGGCCAAGAGCACATTGATTGAGAACGCGGAGGCCTTTGCCGCCCGCCATCTTCCTCCTTACATCGAGGAGCTCTTGACTCTGATCAACTTCCCTTCTAGGTTAATCCAGGAGATTATCCGTATGCGGTTGTCCTATGCGAAGAAGATGAAAGAGTCAGCACAGCAGTCCGTGATGATCATTGACCAGATGATTGCACAGTTTCAGATTCTCATGCGCCTCGCTTGCCTCATCAAGCAAGAATACCTCACAATGGCGCATCCCGAACCAGGATGGGATTTGCCTCCTTGCATTGACGAAAACTTCGACAAGGTCATTGTGGACGCCCTCAAGTTCTACTTTAAGATGCTGAACTGGAAATTGGGTGCGAACAAGAACACATTCCGCGAGGCTGAGATTCTCGAACAGGAATGGGGTTTTTCCAACGAGATAGGACGTCAACTTGAAGGTGGCGATATTGAGGTTGCGGAGCAATTCAGTTCTCTCACTGCCAAGTCGCTCCTTCGCCTCACTGCCTCATTCGAGCGAGAGCTGCGAAGCAAACCGGACGAGAGTCCCCAGGAAATGGAGAAACGGTATAAAGCAATTCTGGATTCCGTCCGTGTTCGACAACGGAAATTGTTCAGATTCTCGCGGATTCTGCGGCAAAGATTCGAAAACGCGACCGAGTTCAACGTGGGAATGGGTGCAGAGCAGCTACAGGCATTTGCCGAAGCCCTTGTTTTGTCTGGACACTTCCTTGTGGAACCGAGCACAAATAGTCCCAAAGGTATTCACTTTGTGGCTTCGGCGTCGCTCTGGAACAGGCCCAAGGAAATCCAATCAATGCTGGGCACATCATTTCATGAGGATGATGCGGCGGAAGATCCCTCAAATCCTTACATTTTGATCATCAGACCAGAGGATGACATGACATGGGAAGGACCCAGAATGGAGCTTGGCGCCCTGGAATTGCCTACTGACGTGCGACTCGGTAGACTGCGTCTCGTGGCCGACGGATCGTCACTTCGCCTTCAAGGTGCTCGCATGGAATTTGCCAATGCTATTGGCAGAGAGTTGGACGTGGTCATCGAACAGCGAGCCAACTTATCTCGGGTGAATCTTGAGCTTGGAAAAATAAAGAAGACAACTTTCAAATTGTCCAATACGATTATGGAAAGTGTGGAGGTGATTCGGTCGCAGAATGGAGGGATCGCCAGTCCAGAGTTGGTGCAGTCTTGTTTCGCCTTTGCAACTGAATTTGGCAAACGTTCTCTGACATACATGGATGCCAATCGGCGCATGATGAACAATATGAAACTTACTCGACTCGCTTTGGATTGGGTCAGCTTTATCTGCGACGATTGCGATGCGGCTGACCGAAGGACCTTCAAGTGGGCAGTGGTCGCATTGGAGTTTGCGATGGCGATGACACGCGGCAGAAATATTCTGGACATCACGGACGAGGACTACAAACGCATCAGAGTTAAAGTGGCGGGCTGCATGTCTGTGTTGATCTCTCACTTCGACATTATGGGTGCGAGATCAACCTTGGCCGCGCAGCAAGAGAAATCACGGATGGAGGCATTGACGGGCATGAACAAGAGATTGGACTACAACAAGTTGCGTAACGACGAGGATTGTCGCAATGAAATGTGCCAGCAGAGACTGGCCGAGCTCAGTGCCATCGACCAGGTTCGCGAGGAACGAGGCACCAAGACCACTCTTGGACGGGTTTTGGAGGGCTCGAACGAAGCTGACCGGTCACTCACATTCCTCTCTTCGTCGGCGACAAACATCACCATGCGGTGGCAACAAGGTCAATTCGTGGGCGGCGGCACTTTTGGCTCAGTGTACGCGGCCCTCAATCTCGATACAGGAACTTTGATGGCCGTCAAAGAGATCCGTCTGCAAGACCCGCAGTTGATTCCAACCATTGTCAAGCAAATTGGAGACGAGATGGGTGTCTTGGCCGTTCTCGATCATCCCAACATTGTGTCCTACTATGGCATCGAAGTCCATCGCGACAAGGTATACATCTTTATGGAATATTGCTCCGGTGGTTCGGTGGCTGGCCTGCTCGAACATGGACGGATAGAGGACGAAACCGTCATCATGGTATACGCGCTGCAAATGTTGGAAGGATTGGCTTATCTGCATTCGGCACACATTGTGCACCGAGACATCAAGCCAGAGAACGTTCTCTTGGATCACAATGGTGTCATCAAATACGTCGATTTTGGTGCCGCAAAGATAATTGCGCGACAAGGACAAACGATGATGGCTCCAGAGGCACCACAGCGCGCCAACGGCGATCCTGGTCAGCTTCCACGGCAGCCACAGAAGACAATGACGGGAACACCAATGTACATGTCACCTGAAGTAATTCGCGGGGATGGACCAGCAACATCACGTTTCTCTGGAGCCGCCGACATCTGGTCATTGGGATGTGTGATTTTGGAAATGGCAACTGGCCGTCGGCCTTGGTCGACATTGGATAATGAATGGGCCATCATGTACAACATTGCTCAGGGTAATCCGCCGCAGTTGCCCACCGAAGACCAGTTGAGTCCGACGGGGATCGACTTCTTGAAGAAGTGCTTCGAACGCGATCCCGCAAAGAGAAGCTCGGCGGCTGAATTGCTGCAGCACCCTTGGATCGTGGAGATTAGGCGGATGGTGGTTGATGACCCTGACGCTCAGACGCCCAGGAGCGAGAGCAGCGGAGGCGTGTCACTCCCAAGCCGGCAGAACTCGATAGCATCGTCGTGAGGAGAAGGTGCTGACGGCCTCAAAAAGCAGTATAATCTTTTAATATTGACAAGACCTTGTACGCCCGAACAGGTTTCACTTCCATGTGCCTTTTTCGGCTCATTGTTCTCCAGCTTACGTGATAGGTCGTACTTCGTGTTTTTGGTCGTATATTGAGCCGGCTCATTTTCTCGGGCAGGGGTCAGGTCGCTGACCCTGGTCTCACAGCAGGGCACCGAGTAGTAAATCTAGATTGGGTCGTCGAATAATGTTACCTACGTGTCGTGGTTTAGGACAATGCACGCCACGGCCGAAACAGGGAACCCTGACGTTGATGTTTCCGGACACATCGGCTTTCCTGGTTCGAAAAGGAAAACAAGACTCCATCGGGTCTTGTGGGTTATGCCTGGCTTCCTGACCATGCGTTCCGAGTCTTCCATCCTCCATTCGCTTTTGTACCGGTGAGCGGATACCCGGTATAGTTTTGCAGACCACTTCTCCATTCTTTGCTTTTTCCTTTTATTGTTGGCCAGGGCCGCCCAACCTCTGTTCCACCCTCATTATGCACGCCCGCTGCCTCCGCAATGGCCAATGTTGACATCTCCAGTAATGCGTCGTCAGACCCCTTCACTGATCAAGCAGCAATCCAAGACGAACGCGAGACGGCCGCAGAGTCCACGCTGGGCGTCGGTCGAAATGCCACCCTGACTCTCGGCACTGACGCGGTAATTGTCCTAGGTTCGTCGTCTCTGACCACGGGAATTTTTCTGACAGCTTCGCAGATGAAGGTCTCCGCACGAGCGAGGGATTTGATTGCTTTGGGCTCTTTTCTCAGAGTAGGTCTTGAGAACGGGGACTTGGAAGCCGACCACGACTGACCTCGAGCACCAGGAACCACCAATACCCGGTCCATTCCCTACTTTAATGTCCTCTGGGCGGAGATTGTAAAGAGCGAACTTACTGTTCATTACGCAAGACCGACCTCCAAGTCAGCAAATTCCCCTGTTCGCGTTGCATACATCAACTATACCCTCGAGAACTCCACGGCGTTACTAGACAAGGCTGAAAGATGGGTTGAGCGTCTGTTACGACGGGCGTATGGCCAAGCTCAACGCAACAAAAGGCTGAAAGTTCTGATAAACCCGTTCGGAGGCAAGGGAAATGCGGTTAAACAGTACAGCAAAGAGATTGAGCCTATATTTGCGGCCGCGCGATGTGAGGTCGACGCGGAGCAGACAACGCATCGTGGCCACGCGGCCGAGATTGCTCAAAACTTGGACATTAATGCATTCGACGCAATAGCGAGCGTGTCCGGAGACGGACTTCCGCATGAATGTATCAACGGCCTTGCGAGGAAAGCAAATGCGGCCGAGGCCCTCAGAAAGGTGGCAGTCGTCCAACTTCCCTGCGGCAGTGGAAATGGTATGGCGTGGAATCTGACCGGGACAGGGGAATGCAGCACGGCCGCTTTGTGTATTGTGAAAGGTGTACGGACCCCTCTAGATCTCGTCAGCATCACACAGGGAGACACCAGGACGCTCTCCTTTCTGTCGCAGTCGCTCGGCATAGTCGCGGAAAGTGACCTAGGAACAGAGAATCTTCGATGGATGGGGGATGCCAGATTCTACTTTGGATTTCTCGTCCGCCTTTTGGGCAAGACGCTTTATCCTTGCGACATCGCTGTGAAGACCGAGATTGAGGATAAGCAAGAGATCAAGAAGCACTACGCCCAGTACATGGCTAAAAGGACGACTCAAGCCCCGATCTCTCATGGCGATCTGGATGGCCCGTTGGATATGTCAAAAAGTCTGGGACTCCCCCCGCTGCAATATGGTACCATCAATGATCCTCTCCCCACCGACGCTGGCTGGACTCCTCTATCCTTCTACCCCAACCTGGGCAACTTTTACTGCGGCAACATGACCATGATGGCAGCTGACGCCCCTTTCTTTCCTGCTTCTCTCCCGTCGGACGGTCTGCTCGATTTAGTCACCATCGACGGCGACATTCCCCGACGGAAAGCGCTTGACCTCCTGCTTTCCGTTCCCAAAGGCACCTTTTTCGACAAGGAATGTGTGCGCGTCAGGAAAGTCAGCGCTCTCCGTGTGATTCCGCGATATGGGACAATGGCGGAGCCCGCAACTCAGAGTGACCATCGACAGAAAAAGCGGGCCAAGGCGGCCGGCCAGATCCAATCCAAGAAGAATGAAGATCGAGATGCTGGCCATTTCTCCGTCGACGGAGAGAAGATGCCCTTTGAGCCATTCCAGCTTGAAGTCCACAGGGGATTGGGCACGGTCTTGAGTCGACGCGTGGGAGTCTATGAAGCCATTGGGCCCAAGGGCTGGGAAGAAATCAGTGTCGCGGCTCCTAGCGATGCAAATCAAAGTTCCAAATCGAGGTAATTTGGAACGACGGATGCATCAGCACGTTAATATGTCGCCATATTTGGTGGTCAAAAGAAGGTGTCAATTGTGGATGAGGAAAAGAAGATCCCGAGAACTTCATCTGGCTAATTCGCCCATTTGAAGTCCGTGATCGAATTGTGTTGGGGCCAGGTTACATTGTCGCGATCGACTTGCGCTTTCATCTGCGATGGATCTTGGTGTCATAACGAAGCCGCATTAAAAACAGCAAACTGGCGCACAGGGCAATGTCAGGTGGCACGATCATAAAGAGATACCCTTACACGCAACTCTGCCGATTTACTCTCTGGCGCATTCAACAAATTTGTGGCGTTATTTACATAGCAGCTCTTGATTTTCGGTGGACGAATAGAAGCACAAACTCCAGGTTGAAACGCAGAGTTGCTTCTGCGGTTTTGATTGAACCCATAAACATCGGAGTCTCTGAGGTTTTCTCTATACCAATCCTATGAAAGAGGGTTGCTCCAACCCATCATGAGCGCGGAAAGCCGTATTCAGACATACACGAAGCCCAAGAACCTATGGTGATTTCACAATTTGCTCCTCAAATCCTTTCTCTCATCTTTCTTGAACAGTGTCTTCGAGTCCGGGTATGGATCAAACACTACGTTGTTGAGTGGGTTCAACTCACTCGCTCTGTGGAACATGTCCTCGTAGACGTTTCCATCATACCGTCCCAGGGATGAGTCAAGTTGCCAGTCGGGGAATTTCCACGCATCGACCAATCGAACAGCATGTGGGCGGATCTCCTCGAGCAGTTTCATCACCGTCTTTGTGCGTGCCAGCGTGATTTGGCGCACTGTCACGGCGGCGGATGAGTAGAATTCGGATGCCTCGCGTTCGAGCGTATGCAAGGCATACAGGCGGAATAATTTATGCAACAAGTTCACCGTATCGGGATCCAACTGCTTCTTGGTGCCTTGATCCCGCAATGCGTCATGGAAGTTCTTGACAATCATGTATTGGGCGTGCGCTGTAGACAAACGCCAGAAGTCCACAAGCAAGGAGTTCCAGGACTGCTTATCCTCGTCGCGGTGGCGGAGAGCTTCAAATGTCAAGAAGGAAACACGCCACGCGAATGCCGCGACCAGATCTTCGTCGTTGCCAATCACATCGAATGCACAGCCGATGTCACGGCGGCGGATGAAATCAATCAGAATCCTTGTCGTGTCGTTCTTTGCTGCCTTCCCCTCGAGGACGCTCCGGGCAGATTTCAACAGATACCGAGAAACTTGCTGCGTGAGCATGTAGTTGTCACCTTCCCAAGTCACAGTGGGAAGGTAATCAGCGTACCAGGAACCGATGCCAGAGAAGGACGAGTACCCATGGCCGCCGCAGGCACGGCGACAGACCTCCAGGCCTTCTGCGGCGGTGGTCGAGCCGTAGGCTTTCAGTGCACAACTTGTGGAGTGCAAATCGGCCAGAAGATCGGTGCCTGGATTGAGCTCCTCGGGTCCTGGTCCGCGAGTCGAGTCGGACAATTTACCCGCGTCGCCGGCGCTCATGCGTTTCTGGTTTTCCTGGTACAGTCTGATCATGCTCTTACCCGTGAAGTGGAGGGCATAGGTTGCAGCGAGCAACGGAAGCAGTCGAATCTGGACCATGGTATAGTTGAGGACCTGGTTTTCACCGGGCTCGTGGACGTCCCGATCTTGGAATTGTCGTCGGACGGCACAATAACGAGTGGCAATCGTCACGCCACGGGCAAGGGTAGAGCCCGCTTGCAAGACGATGGTGCTTCGAACGAAGGTGAGGGTGCCGTAGACAAGAGAGGGATTCGAAGGTCGGACGTATTTGTTGGTATTGGGATCGACGCTAGAGAAACGAGCCAGCATGTTGACGTGAGGAATTTTGACATTTTTGAACAGTAGGAACCCGTTGTCCATCGTATTGTATCCAAATTTAGGGCCAATGTCGCCAACATGGACGCCGGGTAGGGGCTCATGAGTCTTCATATCTCTGACTTGGACGACAAAAGGATGAGGACCGTAGGCTTTGCCGTCGACGAAGAGCTGGGCCATGACAATGGCATGGTTGGCGGTTCTTCCCAGAGAACCAATCCACCATTTGGAGGCCGTGAGGTACGGCGAGTTGATTGTGAAGGTCTTGTCGTCCGAGTTCCAGATAGCAGTGGTTTCCAATCCTCTGACGTTCGACCCGTGACCGAGTTCAGTCTGGGCATAGCAGCCAATGATCTTATATGCCTCCGCCTTCTCGAGAAAGAGCTTGTGCTGATCTGGAGTACCCTGCTCGCGGAGGGTGACAATGAACATGCTCGAATGGAGGCCGTAGGGGGTAGGCTCGCTGATGAGGTCGCTGGCGGTCTGGTATTCATCTCTTGTCCACTTGTATTTGACCTGCAGCTGTTGCAGTCTCTTTCCCCTTGCCAACGCAGCTTCTATCCGGCTGATTCTTCCTCGAAAGTAGTTTTGTGATTTGTCGAAGACGGGATCGGCTTGCAGGATCTTGAGAATACGTTCGTTCCTCTCGAGAATTTCCCGCGTGAACATGAAGTCGGCGAGCTGATCGACATTGAGATTGGATTTTGCTCTCTCTTGTGAGAGCAGCTCAGAACCCTGAGGGCCGGAGGGTTTGAGGGCCTTGACCCATTCTGGATTGTTAGGCATCTTGAGGCAACTTCGGAGGGAACGGAAAACGATCAGAAAGAGCTGAGAGAGCAGCAGAACCTAGTCTCGGAGTCGATGAAAGGCCACAGAGGAGGGAGTGCTGGTATTTAAGCTGCTCGGTGCCGTGAATCAGCAAGTGTAAGAATCGCAGGCCGAAATTGTCATGATCGGAACGGTCCACCAGCGATGCAAAGTCTCGTCTTCTGCCCAGATGCCTCGGTTCAGCTAATCCTGCCTTTTACTCGTTTCAGGATTAGTGAGCTCCGCCAATCGCCAGCTTCGTGCGTAACGCGGGTCTGCTGCGGATCCTTCGGCAATCCATCTCCATTCCCATTGAGTGCGTCTGCAATTGCCGAGACGCTGTCACCCATGTCCTTTGCTTGATGTTGATGGATATAATATTGAGCTGCTTCGCCACCTCCACGGTCGGGCATCCTCGGATTCTGGACTCCTCAATTTCTGCTGGGAGCTGCTCAAACAGTCCGTCGAAGAAACCCATCCACTGCAAGCTCAATTGATTCGAATTCTGCCTCGGTCGACGAGACAGCACTCGACAGAGGCGCCTATCGCCTATCGGCCATTGATTCAGTGGCTGTCGGTCGCCGTCAGACAACTTCGCTCACGTTGGCTTAGTTCCTGCCGAACAACGGCCGCTTCAAGAGACTCAGGCCATCACTAGTTCTCATTTAGCCGGCCAAGCAACACAAGCACGGAGTATCTCTCCATTGAGAGGGCAACCGGGCAGTGATATGAATCTATGAGAGAGCTCACTGCTCAAGAAATTGCACATAGACGTTGAATTGATGGGTTTCAGCCCACTTTGGTATCTCACTATCTAGCTTTGCCACCCTCTTTTCAGTTCTTCTCTTCGATTGTATGTGGCTGAGGCTCACTGATCGAGACCTCCTCCACAGGGTGTTCCCATGCCAAGGACCAAAGTGAGCCACAGTCGTACTCAGTTCCGCTGGTATTGTATACGGATGGACGCCCCCATAAACCCTGTTTTCTTTCTCCATGCCGTCCACCTGTTCCCTGATGATTATCAAGTGAATCAAGCGAAGGGCAATATCTGCCACGGACTCAGTCCAGTCTCGCCTGCAACGAGGTGACTTGGGCATCCCCATGCACCCAAAGGAGTGTTCACCAGTTCATGGCCTGGACGACTTGAGGATATTCCTCTGCGAAAAGTTCTCTGCCTCTCCAATACTGTAGCTCCACATTCGGCCAGGTAAAGAGATGCATACCCTTCACGCTTCGTTGAGCAGGTGGGTCCACAGCGAGGACATGCAAGACTGGCAACCAAAACGCGTGAAGAAGAAATCTTGATCCCCTAATCTCCGGCCGGCTTTCAATAAAAGTGGCCACTGTTCTGCGGATTACGGAAATTTCCTTCTCGAGGTCGTCGGCAATACCACTACATACCGTAATGAACTTCTTGCAAGCTTCATGGTCGAGTCCAGGCAGATTGGGTTCGGGCTTCTCTCTGATCAGCCATTTCATGACCTCCTCGTAATTGAAGGTCTGCCCATTCTGAGGCCTCCCTGTCTCGGGTCTTTCGTGTTCTTCTGGCACCGAGTCGCCACGAGAGCTGCGGGAGCGACTGCGCCGCGACTGTGATCCGTCGTCGTCGCCGGTCCCAGTGCGAATGCCCCTTCCCCCGGCTCTCCGACCAGAAGATGATCCAGCGCGTCGGTGAGACTGATTCCGTCCACGACGGCGAGGAGGACTCCGCGAACGAAGTCGGTTTCTGTTTTGATTAGGCAATCGCCTACGTCCCTCCTGTCGTCTATTCCGACCGCGAGGAGTGTCATTTTGCGGTATCCCGCCAGGAAAATTTGATTGGTGTCGACCATGACCGAAGCGAGAACGGCGATCCGACATTGTGACTGATGGATTGTCTAGGATAAGGACGGGCTGTGTTCGGGAAGTGAAATCTAGGTACCTACCTATCTCGGATTTAGGTATAAAGCAAAAAAAAGCCGAGTTTAGTAGATCATCGGATCCACCAGTATAGGCTTCACCTTGGCGCACTAAGGTCGCTACCTAGGTGGTTGCATTAAGACGAGGAACCTGTTCCAATTAGATATGGGCCCCTTGGGGCCGCTGTCGACTGTCTTGACCCAAAGTTTCATACCTAGGCACTCATGTATGTACCCACTGGTTCAAATCCGTAATGGCATATCCCCTTGTCACCACACCTACAGCTATGAATGATAATTGAACGCATCTACCAGCATGTGGAAAGGAAGGCTCAGTATAGGATTGGGGGTAGAACGCCAACGGAAATATGCGCTCGAAAGGAAGTAGCCTGGCTCATGCGAGGTGTTAACTATGCTGCTGCTTCACCCGAAATTGTCACGATACTTGTATGGAGCAATGCCACTCTTTCTGGTAATTGTTTTGAGATAGACATGGTGCCTAGTCAGGTTTCCCACCCCAAAGTCTCCAGGCCTCCTCGTCTCCTGTTATTCCACCTCCTTGGTGCACCGAAGACACCGTGTGTGCCCGAAGAATGATTGCGCCCTTCACATTCCTGGTTCCGACGGTCGGTAATATCGTCCATCTGCGAGTTCCATATGTGCGCTGTAAACGCCACTCCAGTTATTCCTCAGCTGTGCGCAGTATGCACTTGCCCCTGTCTTTATTTCCAAACCCTTCTCTTTCCCAAATACTCATGGCATGACTGGTGGCCGGTGCTGGGAGGGTGAGGGAATTCAAATCGAGCGGTCAATCAAAGTGGACTGTCGCTTTGAAAGTCAGCTTCAAATCTTGTACAAGGTGGTAAGGTCTGACCTGAGAAATTGAGATCGATTGGCTTCCCCCGTCTCCAAAGTTCAGGGTACTAACAGTCTGCACCGGCGTGAAGGTTCGATCTCTTTGCAGACCTGAGCCAGATGGTCAGGCCCACCCACCTTCAGGTGGGAAAATTCGTCGGATACGACGCCGACGGCGGAAAAAAAAGGAAACGGTTGGGCAATCAGCCAAATCACCACTCAGACCGCGGCCGGATTATCTGCGTAGTATTCTCGAAGACATCCTCCAACTGGTCCCGGGCATCTCGTTGGCTTTGAAGCTTGGCTTCCCACTCAGCAAGAAAGTCGATTGGCCAGGCAACACGTTTCAATATACAAGGAATTGGGCATTCTGCTGGTAGCGCTGAGCCCTTTAACCGGCTTGAAGGCAGGCTTGCTTTGGGCGTGGCGTCGCTCCTCATGCCCGTGTTTTCTGCCTCCAAAGCCAGCAGAGTGTTGAGCAATTGGCTCTTACCCGAATCTGCATATTTGTCCAGTTCACTTGAGACACTCTTGTTAAAATGATCGAACGCTTTGTCCACTCTCGCTCGGACTGTGGCGTAGTACGAAAGGTTCCATTTTGTCTCGTCCATTCCGGCCACTTCATCCGCGATGTGGCGGAGGTTGAAAAAGAAATTATTCGCAATATCGCGAAAGAGATTCATTGTGGAATCGAACTCATTGCAGAGTTTCTGTCCTTTGGCGCTGTTGCTGAGGTAGAAAGACATCCGCACTTTGGCATCAGCTTTGCGATTCAATAGCCCGACCGCAAAGCTTGTAACCTTGTCTCGCCGGATATCTTCGGCCACGTAAGCAGCCCAGTTACGGAGTTGATAGGCAGCATGGGAATCCGTCTTCGGCTTGATCGAGGGATGTAATCGATCCTCGTCGGTCAGCTCCTCGTCCCCTTCATCGCCTGTCTGTCGGCGGCACAGGGGAAATCGTGGCATCGCGATTGATATTGCCAGTGACCGCTGGGAGAGGAAGAGGCTCGATAGGCGGACTGATCTCGAAGCTTGAACATGTCTGATCAAGCAGAGTCGTAATGGGCGGGCAAGTAACTTCCGAGCGAATTCACGGCCCATTAGCCGCTGAGCGGTATGCTAAAACTGTTTCGTGAATGGCGAGGTAAGAGTGATACAAGGCTTGAGATCCCAACTCATCCGACTCGGTGCTCACTTTCCGAATCTCGGCTCCGACCCCAGCAGAATAAAGGCCGAACCCAGTTCTAGGACAGAACCACACATATTTGGCATGAGATGAGAAAGAAACTCCTCTTCTTGTGTGTCTGTGAACTATACCGAACCGATATGAACCGGTTCCGAGTCTTTCCTTGAGCCGCACTCATCAACAAGGTAACCTGGAGATATAAGAGAAGGTACAGAGAAATGCTTTCATAATCCATCAACATATGTGGCAAGGGCAGCATCGCCAACTGTGACATCGACTTCCCAAGGAGTCTCCGTGCTTTCAGGCCAAGTAATCAAAGGTCGAAAACAACATGAACAAGCTTGAAATCGAAAATGCCGAGGCCAACACAATCTTCAAAACGGCATTGAAGGACGCCGCTGCGTGGAACGAGTCTCTCGACTGGCTCCCAGTCCACACATTCGTCTATCGAGAGGTAGATGGTATCAAGATTGAGGCAGATGTTTATGTGCCAGACACGCCGGTGGGCCAGCTCGACCAACGACCTGTGGTACTGTTCATCCATGGCGGTGGTTGGATGGGAGGTATCCGTACCGACATACCTAGGACGATTTTGTACGAGTTCCTAATAAGAGGGTTCATCTTTGTTTCGATTGATTATCGTCTGGTCCCAGAAGCGGATTTCGTTACGGGCCAGTTAGACGATATTACCTCGGTGGAGACTTGGATTCGGGAGAAGCTTCAAGCGTCACTACAAGATCGAAACTTACAAGTCCTAGTCAACACTGATTCTATGATCGTTGTGGGAGCTTCTGCGGGAGCTCACTTGGCATCACTAACGGTAAGACTCAAGGAACCATCATTTCCTTCTCTCACTTGACGCCTCTCTAGGAGATGACTCCTCTTGTGCTAATACCTACCACCAGCCGAAAATTTGGCAGATTCCTCCCAAAGCCCTTCTCCTGCTCGCCGGGCCAAGTAACCTTCTTGCACCCCGAGTTCCAAAAAGGTCTCCCCCGGACGGTAGATTAGCTCCACTTCTCCACCACGTACCCCTGGATCCATCACCGGAATTCATCAAGTCAGCCATGTTTGACAAGCCTCAGACGAATACAATCCCTGCTGTTGGGTTAGAAGGCTTTCTACAGCCACGGTCCTTACTCCACCTTTCAAGAATCCTTAAACAGGTGACCAGCGAATTCTTGCTTCGAGGTATTGTGGACGGGAAATTGCCCGAGAAAGGAAGTGTTCCTGAGGACGAGATCAAATACATCAGTATGTTCCATTCCAAGTGCTGGTGGCTCGCCCCAGAAATCTCACCACCCAACACCGGGTGGTCTGAAATATCGGCTCACAATAAAAATGACTTCAGGTGCCTTCTACACTGATCCGATTACTTCATATCCGCCAACGTTTCAAATCATCGGCGATAGCGATGAAGCCTGGGATGCCTCGCAGTTAACTTCGTTCCATGACAAGTTACGGCAAAATGGCATTCCGTCCGCCGTCCTCGTCGTGCCTGAAGCAGTACATGCCTTTGAAAACGACTCCAAGGTTGGGGACCCGGTGCATTTGAAGTATTTAGCGACGGGAGTGGATTTCGTGTGTAGGTTCGTTGGGGAGAATGGCGGAGAGAAAAGCAAAAATTGAGTTCAGGTCTACCTATTCGGGATCGACTGGAGGACTAGATCCTACTGAACTGCACCTCGGGTACTAAGGGAGGGGACCGGCCAGATACAGAAACTATTCTCAAAGTGTCAACGTAACTACTACTGTGATGGGTTGAACCCAGGAGAAGGCTCGGTTCTGGAGAACCTGCGGCAAGATCAGCGCCAGGAAACACTGCCTTCTGATTGACTGTGCTCGCCTGTACAATGTACAGACGAAATATTGCCTCGTGATTGGCCAAGGCGTGCACGGTGCAAGGGGTACTGACCAAAGGAATCTTGACAGCTAAGACAGCGTACGCAAGGGAACCAGAGGCAAGGAGTTGGAACAAGTACGCAAGGAAGGACTAACGCGGTAACGGTACGAGTTACCTCCTTGCGGCACATCGGACGATATAAGGAGAGAGGAAGGACGGCTATGGCTTCCTTCTCTCTCCTCAGACTTGTCCCCTTGTTACTAGGTTGGCTAGCTAGTTGCAGAACTCTTTCCAAACTCTCACACTAGTATTTTATCGTACTTTAAATCTCCCTCTCTCGTCCTCTTCTTTTTCTTTCCTCTCGACGCTCGTCTCTCCTCCTCCGCTTTCTGCCCCGCTTACTATTTTCTAATACCGAAAAGAAAGAAGACCGCGGCGGGAGTCTTTAATAAGGCAGAGGGGCACGGCTCGTCGCATATATGTTAGCCGCCGTATCCAAGTAGAAATGGAAAAGAGAAGGAGTGTTCTAGGTAAATGGGAGAAGGGATGACCAAGATAAAGGAACATATGGAAGGATAGGAAAGATATAGCATATGAAGCGCGCGAGTCGCCATTAGGAGAAAGAGTCACAAGAGTGGATGCAATATTGGAGACGCGCTCCATCTTCCCTAGATAGCGTGGGTTGCGAGGGATTACATCCATCGCCTGTACAAGGAGTCCCAGTTTCGAGCCTTGGGGCTCCCAAAACCATACCCTCGCGGATAGTCGTGTAAAGTTTCCACATCCTCGAAGGGAGAGACATATAGAGCATTGAGAGAGTATCAAATAGCAGCGCGGGCCCGGAAACGGGACTGAGTGCCGGTGATAAGAAGGATGACGGGGGTGGGCTCCTGAGCAGGCGGTGGGCAAGGCACGACCCCAAACAGGTGCCCAAGGCGTGGTGCATACTCGCCGCTGGATGCCCCGGCATACATGTCTCTCGGCTGCCAGCAGGGTAGCTATTGATCGTTACATTTCTACTACAGTGTTGCACTTACTGATGTTCCGATGTATCGAGTTGATGAATCTTCCCGCGGTACTTGAGTAAGGCTGAGCCGGTTCCGGGCATGCCTCCGGTTCGCCGTAGCCAACGCACCATGGTTCGCTACGTTTCATCATACTCCGGTTCATGAGTGGTCAATGAAACGAGCGCCGGGAAAAGCAGAACATACGGCCTTGTACGATCGCTCTTAATCTCTTGTCGATCGTGCGAGTTAGCAGTAAGGGTGTCCAGATTCTCAACCTCCAACACCCAAACTGACAACAAGATGGCTGAAGTCGAAGTTATAAACATGGACGAAATCCGCGCTGCCTTCACAGCCGCACTCAAAGATGTCAAAGACTGGAACAATTCCTTTGATTGGCCTGAGGCCCACACGTTCGTCTACAGGGAGATAGACGGCGTCAAGATCGAAGTCGACGTCCAGGTGCGCGAAACGCCGATTAGCAGCGACTCTTTCGTCCAGTCGGCCAAGCGACCTATTGCGCTCTTCATTCACGGAGGCGGCTGGATGGCTGGTATCCGTAACGACTGCCCTAAGCCGATAGTACACGAATTCATCACAAAGGGATTTGCATTCGTCTCGATTGATTATCGCCTCCTTCCTGAAGTCGATTTCATCACGGGGCAGCTAAACGATGTGGCATTCGTGGAGACCTGGATCCGAGAGAAGTTACAGTCTTGCTTGCAAGACCGGGGTGTGAATGTGACGGTCGATACCGACGCCATTGTCGTCCTAGGAGGCTCTGCCGGTTCTCATCTGGCCTCGTTAACTGTAAGTCTCTCCGCCTCGACTCTTTCTTTCCTTTCCTCATGATTTGTTTAGCTTTCTCTCTGTCATCACTAAGGGCCATGTCCTGATACTGTTTGAAAACAGCCTAAGATATGGAAAAAGAAGCCTCAGGCTCTCCTACTTTTAGCTGGGCCTACAAATCTCTTTCTAGTCCGGAAGCTGGGTCGCCCCTTGGGAGGCGGCAAGCTCACCGAAGTAGTCGCTCGAGTTCCCCTAGATCCCACTCCAGAATTCATCAAGTCAGCATTCTTTGAGAGCGTGCGAACTAATTCGGCCCCAAATTACAACGTGGAGCCCTTCTCAGAGCCTCGTTCATTACTTAGTCTCTCCATCCACTTGAACGATGTCATCCCCGAGTTCCTCGTGCTGGGACTACCTGATGGGAAGCTGCCAAAGAAAGGTAGCGCCCCTAAGGAGAAAATTGAATTTATCAGTACGTCAATCTCTAAATAATTGACCCATTTTGCTCTATTTTGTCACACGTGTGGAGGGAAAGCCCCAACATGCTAACATTAGATCCTAGGTGCATACTTCGGGGACCTCAGCGACTGGCCTCCGACGTTCCAAATGGTCGGCGACACTGACGAAGCATTCGACGTAACGCAATTGAGTCTGTTCCATGATAAATTGCGCGATCATAACATCCCCTCTGCTATGCTCGTGGTGCCTCAAAAGTCTCACGGCTACGAGGGAATGGCCAAGATTGGCGACCCGACGCACTTGAGATATATCCAGCCGGCTTGCGAGTTTGTGATAAACAGCGTCCTGAAGGAAAACAAGGCCAAATGACGCGGCTCGCGGAGGGCAGAATGATCTGGGTCAATGCTGGGACAAGTATGATGGAACGCACCAGGAGAGCGTGGCGGCAGCAGCGGAGCTACATAGCAAAAACAGTGAATCTCCACTCCAGGGCTGGTGTTGCGTTACCAGGCATTCTAGGCGTCACGATGTTGCCTGTTATCTTCACTGGCACCTGGGGGTCACTTGGTTTTAGGCAGGAGTGCAGCGAACCCGAGCCTCTGGAACGTGCCTATAAGAGCAAGAGGTTCTCAAACATCCGAGACCGACAGGCAGGAGAATGCAAGATGCTCTCAGGACATGAGACTACGGCAGCCGGCAAGACCAGTGAAATGGTATCTTCAAGCTTCCAGTTCGTGATTTTTCATCCTCCGTAAAGTTATATACGGCTCAGTTTATTGAGGGGTTTGGTCAATAAGAGCGGATCTCATGATCTGAGAGCTCCTTGTAGATAAAGTCCTTGTTAAAGGCTAGCGTGGCATGAACGGGGCGAGCATGTGTCACGAACCTGACAAGCATATAAGCTAATAGTTCCAAGTTTCTGTCGTGAAATGACAGAATTCTTAGTCTTTTTGGGCGATCCCCAAGGGACTGTGGACCTCTTTCTGCCAATATGGGCATTTCTAGCCTTCCGGATAGACTCCAGAAGGCCGACATTTATCTGCCCTCGTCTCCATGGCCCTGTAGATAATCCAACCAACTTTTGAAATCACTTCACCAGTCATTTGGAAAGAACGTCTTGCCTGCGGTCGTCTCTGCAAATATCGCCATCCACCATATCCACCAAATATGCACATCTTTGTACATATGTACACGGTCCGGCGTCCTGTCTGACGCCTCAATCTCGCATTCCTTGCTCTCTCACTCATCCACCTTGGGAGGAACGCAACGCTTAATAGGTATAGCGAAAGTAAGGGTTTTCGTGATCTGTGAGATCTAGGAACGCGGCCTGTCCCTCGGTCAATGTCGATCGCAGCGCATCGGCGGCGCCGGGCTCGTTGATCGCGCGGTCACGGCGGCGATTTAGGGCCTTGTAGTACAGTCTGCGCGAAGAATTGGGGTTAGCTGAATCTGGAGAACAAATCGTACGACATGGACCATGCTTACAGGAGTATAGCCATCGAAACTTCCGCGGCGACCATCGAGATCATGAGGATGATCATACCGGTTGGGTAGCCCTCAGCGGCTTCGCTGCCCTTGAAAGCAAATGGCCCAGCGATCCCTCCGATTGACGAGGCTGCGAAAATCATGGCGTTCGCCGTCGTTTTCTTTGTGAAGCCGCCGATATTGGATGCCAGGAGGCCAAGTGTCTGGATCAGGGCACCATAGAAGAAAAAGCCCTGAGATTAGGAGTAAGTAGGTTAGCCTACCAGCCCGACGACATCGAGGTTAGCATCTAGAAGGAGAAGGCACTTACAAAGTAGAACGACGTGAGGAGACCTCCTTTGTTATCTCTCGGCAATTTCCAAAGCAGAATGTATGAAACGATTGAAGGGACCAGGAATCCCATCGCAATGACGATGCGCGACTTCTTGAACTTAGTCGCTAGCAGCCTGTCATATAAGAGCCCCGAGTCAAAAACGCACTTGAGGTATCATTAAGTAGAGGATATCGAAACCAAAACTCTTACCCGGAGACTAGCATATTGATAATCACAATGCCAGAGCATGGCATAAAGAGTTGAATAGTTTTGAAGTTGGAAAAACCGAAGCCGGTGAGTATCAATGCGCCAAAACTAACATGAATGAGCAACTGGCACACAGCTCGAGGTAAAAGCGGGGATAACTTACCTTCCAAGTCCGGCAGTCGCGAAAGCAAACGCGAAACCAGTCACGCATATGAGCCACGTCTGTAGATCGGTAAATGCTGCTCGCACTTGGGCCCACTTCAACTTTCGTGTTTGGATCCCTGTCTGATTTTTTTGCAGCCGCCTGACGGCGATGTTACGCTCTCGTTCGGATAAAAAGCGAGCCTTCATCGGAGAGTCTGGGAAGAAGATGCCGAAGATGATAGAGAAGCCAACGGTGATAGAACCGACTACTAAGTAGATCCACTTCCAGGGGCTATTGTGAAATTCTCCCTTGATCGAGGCCGCACCATAATCAAGGGCCTGCCCGACGATGGCTCCGACGGAGGCACCGCACATCCAGAGCCCAATGCGAAGAGGCTGCTCCTCTGTCTTCCACCTACAATAGCTGAATTAAATGATGTAGACCCACGAACTAGAGTAAACTCACCACATCGAACTGAGTAGAATGCAGACCGGGAGACTAACGCCTTGAAACCCATAGAAGAATCTGTTCACGGTTAGTTATATAGCCCTTGTATCAAAAGACAGTGACTTACTTCAAGGCCATAGTTCCCGCAAAGTCACGCAACGTAAGGAAAAGTAGGGCGAGAGCTCCAGAGTACAGGATAATGCCTGTCAAGTACTTCCCGACTGGGAGTTTTTGGGCGAGGAGGAGAAGGGGATACTGGCCCTAAAAAATAACGATGAGTTTACAGGCACCTTAGACGTCGGGATTAGGGTAGGAGGTACTCACAACAAGAGCTGCAAATGTCAGGATTGAATTGGTCCAAGAGTACTTCGTGAGACTGAGGACTGGTGGGTTAACGCTGACGATAGTGTAGAGCTTTAGGTCTGTTATCAAGCCGAAGATAGCTGCAATGCCGTAGGCGCCGGAGTCACAAGCCATGCAGATATTGCCAAGCAACAACTGTACATTCGGTGAGTCGTTTCCCGCTGCATAGAAGAGGGCCTGATTGTTTTACCAGAACGATGATGCGAACGTCGATTTTCCACAAAAGCTTCCTCTCCTCCTCCTCTGTCCATTCAATATCAGCGTTCTCCTGGACGAAATGATGAGCATCGTCGACCCGGTTATTATCCTTGACTGGCTGCTGCGTTTCTTCGTCGTGTTCTGTGATGGAGGCAACGATCTTATCTCCTGGGATCGCCATTTTGGGAGAGAGCTGGTTTGGGCAAGTCGGTTGCCTTTTTGCCAAGACTAAGACGGAGGGATTCGATTTGATTGAAATCTGTGCAAGGGATCACGTCCCCATAGATATTCCCCACGGGGTAATGCAGCGAAATGGAAATTGGAACAGAAAGTGCTGTGTAGACGTTCTGTCGCGTCAAAGTCCGGTCCGTTATATAGCACATCAGGTCTCCGAACCGGTGCCCCCTTATTCGCCTATAGAGGGGGCTGAGACACTGGAGCTTAGTCCAAAAGGATGATTCCGGGTTCATCACAACACCTAGACCCTCGATCTACATCTGGATATCAACAGAACAAGCGAAGTGGCTTTCCAACCCGGCGAGATAATGAGACTCAGTCAGTCAGGCTGTAGAGTCCAAACGAGCCAGGTCATTTGGAATTCCGTCCGGGAATATGCTCTGCTCCGATTTAATCTAGATTTTGCCGACCGGAACTCGTGTGGTCTTCGTAGACTCTGTCCTGTGCGCATCCATCTTGAAATCCTGCAGTCTGGTCAACGAATACGTGTCACTCGCCGTGGAAGAGACTGCATCGTCAGCTACGTCTCCGTTGCATCAGTGTACTTCTCGATAACGAGGTCTGGAATAACTCGGTGGAGCATAAGGGCCGTGGAGATGCTACTAGGAAGGGGTGGGGTGACAGTAGCAGATGCAGTACGCTCGGCTTGGGCACTTTGTTGATCATCTTTGAAGACAACGTGGGAGCCTTGCTGCTGAACTCTCATATGAGTTGGGCTTGTGCGCCGAGCACCTACACAATGCTCCTGTGCCATGAACTCTGTTCTCTCTGTTTTCGTCACCGTAGCACTTACCGTTCTCTATCGCCATCGAATGTGATAGGGTCCCGCCAAATGTACCTTTGCACGAGCTGCTGATCTCTGTCCCAGACTAGACAGGAAAAGCAATTAATGACCATCACAGTGTGATCCTTGAACGAAGCCTTCTGTTGTGTTTCACCACTGAGTCACAGCGCACACGTCCTTTCCTCCTCACCTGTGAGAAGTGTCGATACTACATTGTTGGTCCTACGCCACCAGCTGGGTTGATCTGGATGATAATCGCCTCGACTGTCAATCAATCCCCAGGAATGTGGGATTTACCATCTTTCTTCGCGCTTACGAGGTTCCTTCGAGCGTCCCGGCAATGTGGAGGTTTGTGTTGCAGTGCAGCCATCAGTATCAATGCAACTCCGGTTGGATGAACCGGTCACCGCAAGCCCGAGATTCATCCATTTCTTTCTGTCAAGGACGCGTCAAAAGCTTTACAGATCAGGCCCGCAGTGAGATGATACCTTCGGCTACCACTCTCATAGGCCCATGGATGAAGAGGAGCCTGTTGACGAGCCGGGAAACTTCCTCAAGGACCTGCAATTGAGCCCGAACCCACGACCTCAAAACTACCACTTCCCGGAATGATTATCAAAGCGAAGAATTCCCCTGAACAGCGCACAGTTTGGATTGACGGCAGAACTCTTGGTTGTTGCAATTGCTCGACATTACATGTGTTGTCGCAATGAGTGACGCTGGCCAACGATTGGAGTCAATTCTCCAGCACTTGACTGTGCCTGAGACGATCTCGCTGCTCTCTGGAAAGGACGGGTAGGAATCCTCCACACCTCTAGATCCAGCGACCACCTGAAACCTTACGTTTTCACAGATGGCATACAGCATCCATTCCACACAAGGGCATTCCTTCCATCCGGGTAAGAAGAGCAGCTTTTGTCACAACCCAGAATACGTTTGCTAAAAAGACATGTTCATAAACAGCTTTCTGATGGCCCGAGCGGAATACGAGGGTAAGGACATAGCCGAAACCTTCCAAAAGAAAAAGAGACAGGTTGTTCTAAATGCAAAACCAGGCGCCGCACATTTCAAGCCACGCCGTCGACATGTTTCCCATGCCCTATTGCGATGGGTGCAACTTGGGATATCGACCTTCTCAAAGAGCTTGGTCGTCAGTTCGCGGGCCAAGCGAAGTCACAGGGTGTTCAGTACGAAATCTCCCCAATATTTTAGCCATGCTCGTGCTTATTGAATACCGGATTATAGTGCATTGTTAGGTCCTACCATCAACATTCAACGCTCTCCGCTCTGCGGAAGGAATTTCGAATCCTATGCAGAGGATCCAACGCTGAGTGGCAATCTAGCCGCTAGCTTTATTAGTGGCATCCAAAGTGAAGGTATTGGATCGACATTGAAGCACTTTGTAGGGAATGATCAAGAGACGCACCGCACCAAGATCGATGTCATTATTGAGCCAAGGTTTGTCCTGCGTCATTAATTTCTAGTCCTTTTACTATGGCCCGCTTAACGCACTACCAGAGCCTTGAGAGAGATATATCTCAAACCGTTTCAAATTGTCATGAAGAATGCGCCACCTTGGGCCTTAATGGCTTCATATAATCGCCTGAACGGCTTACACGTCACTGAAAGCCCTCAGCTACTGGAACAGATTCTCCGACGAGAATGGGGCTGGGATGGAGTTATCATGTACGTCGAATCTATGATTCCCGCTTGATGGCGACTAACGTGGTAGCTCCGACTGGTTCGCCACCTATTCGACTAGTGAGGCGCTCAATGCCGGCCTAGATCTCGAAATGCCGGGCAAGACCGAGTGGCGAGGTAAGTTGATTATGAGAGCTCTACACTCTGGAAAACTTGAAGCACCGGTCCTTCAACAAAGGGCACGGCATATCCTCAACTTCGTGGAGAAAACTCGCGCCTCGGGCGTTCCTGAAGACGCGGTAGAGTGGGAGCATAATACACCTGAAGTTAGGGCCGTGAACAGAAAGGCTGCCACAGAATCGATCGTCCTCCTCAAGAATACTTCGAAGCTCCTTCCAGTTCAGAGCCCCGGTCGCGTGGCAATTATCGGTCCTAACGCTCATGAAGATCTCTTCTGCGGCGGAGGAAGCTCTACGGTATTCCCTTACTACTATATCTCTACCTACAGGGGTATTAAAGATACTCTGGCAGAGTATAGCCCATCCAGCGAAGTTACATTTGCTCAAGGTTGCTACAAGCACGCACTCCTTCCAGTCATATCGACAGAGTCACCTTCCGGACAAGCGGGAGTCGATCTAGACTTCTATAATCGCGATTTTACCCAGGATCCGGACGCCCAAAAGGTTGTCGCAACCCATTCCCTCACTTGGAGACTTGTATTTATCGATAGTCTACCACAAGTAGCTCTACCCTCAGTATATGGCCGTTTTAAGGGGCTGTATAAGGCACCTAGCGATGGCGACTTCGAATTCGGCGTGGTCACAACAGGAAGAGCCAAGCTTTATATCGACGGAGTACTTCTGGTGGATAATTGGACTACTCAAGAAAGGGGAAGTCACTTTTTTGGTAAGTGATAAGTGCGACGAAAAGAACCTCGGAAAGAGCTATATCTCATTACCTAGTAGGACTCGGCACCATCGAAGTCCGCGCCACCAGAAAGTTGGTAGCAGGACAACAATACGGGATCGTGGTAGAGTATACGAATACCAGCAGCCTCCAAGATAGGAGTATTTTCGACGTGGGTGGTGGCATATTACGAGTCGGGGTGTGCCCTGTCGTCGACCCGGAGAAACTTCTCAGAGAGGCGGTTGACGCCGCTACCTCAGCCGACACGGTCATTTGCTGCGTCGGGACAGATCTGGAGCATGAAAGCGAAGGCTGGGACCGGAAGGATATGAAGTAACAAACCTACGATTATTCCTCGAAGAGATTTTGGGCGCTGACACATCTCTAGATTGCCAGGCTCGCAAGATCAACTCGTCGAAGCAGTACTCAAAGCGAACCCGCGGACAATAATCGTGAATATATCGGGCACACCACTCGAGATGCCCTGGATTGACCAAGCCTCGGCGGTGATCCAAGGATGGTTTATGGGGAGCGAGCTCGGTAACGCCTTGGGGGACGTTCTCTTTGGCAAGGTGTCGCCCAGTGGCAAACTACCAATAACTTTCCCTCGGCGGCTCGAGCAGAACCCATCGTGAGTCCCTTTATTTCCGCATCGGCTAGGCCTAGGGCGCTAATCTCGAGTAGCTACGGCCACTTCCCCGGTGATCATGGCCGCGTGAGGTACGCCGAAGGCATAATGGTAGGTTATCGACACTACTCAACCCGATATATTCCCACTATGTTCCCATTTGGCTATGGACTATCGTACACCGAGTTCCAATACACCGGCCTTATACACGAAGGCGAAACCTTACTATATCCCGACGGGGTCGTGTCAGTGTCTCTCACGGTGACGAACACGGGCGGCTTCGCCAGCCACGAGATTGTGCAGCTCTATGTGTCTGCGCTCTCGAGCTCGGTATTCCGACCGCTTTGGGAACTGCAGGGCTTTCAGAAGGTTAAGGATGTGCAGCCTGGAGAAAGCTGGAAAGTGATATTTACTCTCGATAAGTATGCCGTGTCATACTATAACGAGAAGCGAGAAGAATGGACGGTAGAAGCCGGCAAATATCGTGTGTCAATTGGGGCGTCCGTAGAGGACTTGAGATTGGCCACTTCCATCCAGGTGCCAAGTACGTTCCATTGGACGGGACTGTAGGGGTAGATTTGGGGACAAATGGACTGTATCAGGTTGTTTCCACAGAAAACCGTGACAAGATGCTGGTCCGAAGAGGTGAAGATCAAGCAGGTCAGGCTGCGTGGGCAGTTCCATGGGAAAATTGAAGAACCCTCAGCATCCCTCGAGTGAAGCGGCACAGACAGGAACAGGAATCCATCCCGGCGACGACGAGAGCAGATGTCGAGGGGCAGGGTTTGTGGAGAGGGGAGGTGCAGTGGCGCGGCGCAGCTTCATCGCCTCGATTGCAGAGGGTGAAATTAGCATGCACATACTTTGGTACTCAAGTTCCATCGCTACAGACTTTTGTGCGTCTAGATCGAATATTTCCTCACCTGGCTGACTTGCCCAGATGGAATTACGACGCCATGCCGAGGTGACAGATCCATATCTAGTACATGGATCTCTTACCCCTGAGCCCGAACTGGCTTCTCAAAACGGGAATCGGAAAAGCTGCCTGTGGCTCCCCCGTGCTCTGCCGTCGCTCCCTCGACCCTCTCTCGTGATCGACCAGTCCTCCTCAATGCTCCGTGATGTGCCCGATAAAATCGGCCTCGCTCCCTTCCTGAACGAAAAAAGAAGGGATCAAGCACAGTTCGGGCATATACAATGTATTGGAACGATATCCGACTATCTGAGCGTGCCTTTCACAAGCCCAAGTCCGCCATCGCGGAGAAATTTTTCCGGGTCGTATTCGGGCACTTCCCAATTCATAGTTATCGCCGTCTGTCTCAACACGGAGTAGTGAAGTCCCTTTCGAAGGTCCCAGAAACCCATGTGAAACCCCCCGTCCCACCTGTCAGGAAGCTTTGGCAGCTTTGGGTGGGGACGTTCCCCAATCGCCTTCAGGTAGTATAAAGGGAGTGGATACATCGCGCCGCCTTGCGGCCATGGACGCTCAAACTCCTTCAATTCTTCTGGGCACTCGTTGTCTGGATGGTCCCGCCATTCTCCGAGGCCACAGGCTTCAGTCGCGTGTGTCTTGGGATTCCCCGGACAGTCCTTGTTTGAGCACTCGCCTTTCTGGACTTTGTAACTCCACACTTCCCAGAGGTTTCTGCACTTTTCACACAGAGAGGTTGGGTGCGACCCCTTGCAATTCGTGCATGTTACACCGGGGAAATGTTTTTTTCTTGTGTATCCAGGCCTCCATTTGCTCATTTTATAAAAATCATAAGGCCACACATCCGGGTTTTCTCGCGAGCACTTCTGTTCTGGCATCTTTGGCATGGCAGACCCCGAGGCTTCTACCTTGGGGGTTTGTGCAAGGACTGCGTCCTTTTTGGCCAGCGCCACATCTGCATATGAAATTGGAGGGTTCGGTGCAACCGGAGGCTCTTGTCGAGCTGGAGTTCTTGGGAAGATTGGGTTGCTGAGCCGGACTGGGTCCTCTAGCTGGAGAGGGACTTTTGGCTGGGCGAGAGCTACAGCCTTTTGCTCCCGATGTTCCTTGTTTCCAGTTTCTCGTGAGCCTGAGGCCGTAGTTGGCATAGCCACGTTCTTCTGTGGAAGTTTGGACCCTTTTCCACGTGTGGAAATTTCATCAAATCGCTTCACATAGTCGAGAAACCAATCGGCAGTTTGCGTATTTGCAGATTGATCCTCCTGTGCCTCTCCCTCGACCGAGGATGTTTCAACCTCTGTGACCCTTGGCTCCTCTTGGAGAGTCGACATGGCCTGACGCTCGTGTCTTGATCGACGTGCACGAGGTCGGCCACGCGAAGGGTCTCGATATCCTGAGTGGGAATCATCCTGGCGCGCATCTTGAGAATCCTCATTTGATACGTTTGTTTGCTGAAGATGTGAAATTGTCTCTGATACAATCCTCTGGACGTCCTGTTCTGATAGTCCTTGCGGAGTCTGAGGATTTTGAAGTGGTACAGTCAGAGGCGACATGGTTGTCATAAATTGAGGATGAATCCCTCCATGGTCTGCGCCAAATTGACGATGGAGACCGCCTAAAAAGTGGCTTTGGAAGCTGAATTGCAGAGTGGCTCCGCAGTTTCCGCAAAATTGCCAGTTACTGGCGATTTGTGATCCGCAATCTGTGCAATATCGCGCCATTTTGTCGTAGTTGATGCTGGTTGTTGGTGAGATGGTAAAGGGAAAAGAGGAAGAGAAGTTTTGATCTTTCCAAATTTTTTTCACACCCTCACCGTACCACACCCACCAAAACAGCATCGCCTTGGCGTCGGCGAGTGAAGTGAAGAGATTAGATGACAACGGTTTTCAATTTTCTCAGTACATCCAGGGGCGATCAGGCCGTATTCCTGCATCAGTATTCGTCATGCTCTTCATCAAGGCCCATCCGTCCTAATCATATTGTCATCCCACCGAGAAGATTGAATATCGCCCTCCTCCCCCAAGTCCCTCACACTGAAAATACCATCTCGAGATGAAAGGAAATCGTATTGCTGGGTTTAGCGAAATCCCTGTCCCCGAGCCGACTCCTCTCGAGAATCAAGTCGGTCAACAGTCCAATGAGTTGTCGCTTCACTCATCGGTGCGTAGCACAATCCTCAAAGCAGCGGCCTCTACCATCTCCCGCCCTCCTGAAAACTCCTCTTGAGTGCTGACAAGAAACGGCCAGGGTCATATTCCCACGAACTCAAGGCCCAGCCCAGCTGCTACCTGTCAACCACAAACCTGTCGCCTAGAGCCAAGCTCTTCGAGCCTGCGAGCGCCAGGACATTGGTTTTGGTTCCACTTCCCACCCGTGTACCCCACCCAGCAAGCTTGGAACGATATGCAGGCATTAGGTCCGCCTTGAGCAAGAGGTGGTTTGATGTGCACAATGAGTCGCAAGAAGCTCGGCGAGCGGATTTATCTTGGCAGATGTCATTCCCGTCAAACAGCACCACCAATACCTCAAAAGATTACTGTCGTCTGACGGCAAGTGTGGGGGACCTTTCGCGAGTGCTTGCGGTCAAATTCCCCTCCAGACGTTGTCCTCTTGGAGCTTAAGGGCGGAGATCGTGGTTGATGCTTATTCTTTTTGTCAGATCACCAACTGGTACATTTCAAGGCATGGAAGTTGAGCATTCGCCCTTTGGACCTTGATTATCAATAGTATTGCAGACTCAATGTACATCTAAGGAGAGTCGGACGCGCAACGGAAGATGTTGGTGATGTTTGTGCCCTATTCACGATGCTTTCTTGCGCGGTTGATCTGATCACCAGGCGACAGCTTGTATTCATAGAGCCTCTTTGCTTGGGGACGTGTAACCAATACAATGATTGGCACTTGAAGTGGCACTTTTGTAGGACATCTTGTTCTGAAGCCTCGATCTGTTTCCTCCGTGGTGACCAAGAAACTTTTTCACATCGAGACTGATCAAAGAGTACGGAGACAACGGAAACGATTGGAACATCGGACGGGGTGAGGTAGGTATCAACAAAGTGAATGTGAATTCTCCTCCTACTCGTAAAATGCCAAGCATGGTGTAAACATACTGCCACATTATCTATCAAATATTCCCAATTGTTTTCACCGGTCCTCTTGCCTCTTCTTTTTCCCCCACGCCGTGAAAAGACCATTTACATCTCTGCGCAATCAGCCATGTACTGCCCACGATGTGGCCAAGTGACGCCTCGTCACTGGCGTTTCTGTCGCTACTGCGGAGAGCCCCTCGTGGAACTCCCACGAGTTGATCGCAGCCAGCGATCCAGATCTCGTTCGAGGAGCAGAGAGCCTCGAACGACAAACCAGTCACGCCGAGACCCTTCGCCTGTTGGATCTCATAGACACCAGTCACACCGAGACCTTTCGCCTGTTGGGACTCGCAGACACCAGTCACACCGAGACCCTTCACCTGTTGGGACTCGCAGACAACAGCCCAGACGAGACCCTTCTCCTACTGCGACTCTGACACGTCGCAGGCAGCCTTCGACAAGAAGAAGTGGACATCGATCCGGGCCTCCACGATACCAGCCACAGTCTTCATCTAGACAAAGCGACCAGCAGCGCATGTCTAGTGATAACAAACCGCAGCGGTCCCCCAGAGGGCGTCCTCTGACACCATGGCAAAGATTCGGAAGAGAGTACCAGCGACGCCAGAGAAACGAGGTTCAGCCAGTGAGCGTCGTTGCGGAAGACCCAGACTTATGTCGCAGCACCGCTGGCACGAATCACGCGACTGAAGCTGGCAGGATGCCGATCAAGTGACGGCAATGAGCCTGGAAGAGGTAAGGGAAGCCGCAATACCAAATTGAGAGTCGCGTTCCAAAGCCAGATGGTGACGGAAAGCAACCCGAAGCAACGCCGGTTGTGGCTGTGACCAAAAGAAGAAAGTCAAGCCCGAACCCACTACATCTGTGTCACAAATTGCTACCCTCAGTGCCCATATACACCACACCTGAATCGGGTAGGGTATATATGGCAGGAGAAATAGGTATTGCACACAAGGCTGTTAGGAGATAAGGCTAAGGGTATAAGGCTACCGGGTAAAGGGATACCCAGTGCCTAGTCTACGTGATAATAAGGGCGGAGAAGCTATAAGAGACAATCCCCTCCCGAATCGGGTGGGAATGATTTCCTCTTGCTTCTCAAGCGTTAAGTCGTTATCTATAGGAACTATAGATAGTTGTAATAGTATATAGTTTAGCTAGTCAGTCCCTACCGTGTGGCGTAGGTCCTGATAATTCTCAACGCTTACCTTATATACGGTGGTACTGTTAAAGCTGGTGGCGAATTGCTGGCGTAGTACGAAAAGGCCTACGACGGTAGCCTTTATAGAATTATACTATACCTAATTCTAGTGGGATACGTTTCTTAATATGTCCGAACCGAATATCATATCTACGGTCTTATCGTAGACTGAGGGCGCGGATCCGGTGGTTCCGCGGCCTACCGCCGCCACTCCTACTAATAGCGATTATAGTGCCGGCCTTAAAGACCTATCAAAGGAATAACTAGAAGCTAAGGTTACTCGGCTTAAGATAGAAAGAGCTAGGCGTGTAAAGGTCGAGCGTCTACGATATCTCCGTACGGGGGGTAACCTAATAGTCGATTAGGTCGCGGCGTAGGAGGCTATAACTCGTTCTCGAGTAACCCTACCTAATTCTAGTAGGGGAGTTAAAAGACTAGCTACGGAAGAGTTACTTAGGAACTCCAAGATCTTTAAGGTCGATACCCTAAAGCACTTCGGCGATAACGATACAAAAGCCCTTAATGAATTTATTATAGATATAGAATTATTCTTCGATAGTTAAAGGGTTAATTACTCCGATCCTAAGACTTATAAGAGAGTAATTAAGATAGTAGTAATATAACTAGATAGCGAGATCCGTTAGGAGTATCGCCGGTTACGTAAACTATTTATTATATAGTTAGATTAGCTTATATTCCTTAGGAATACTATTAAAGACTCCTAAACGCGTATCTACGATACTATCTATACTACTTAATTCCTTAGACAAAAGCGAGACTAATCGGTCCGCTAGTATCTATATAATTTAGAGTAGGTAGAGGTCGATATTAAAGCTACGGCCCTTATAGATAAGTAGGTCAAAATATAGAGGTTTCTCTATAGACTATAGCCTAGTATTCGCGACGTAGTTATATTAGAACCGTAGGAAGTCCGTAGGAGTAGGGATATAGTCCTTACTACGGCCTATAGATATAAAGTACGGTTAACGAAGGAGTAAAGGAGTAGATCTAAGGAGAAAGAGACGTCTATAAAAGCTAAAGTATCGAAGTAAAAGAAGTCCTCTATATCGAGTAGAGATAGGTATAGGATAATCTATCTAAATTAGGAGGGAAAACCTACGGAGAGTTCTCCGAAGTCGTCGGGTAGTTTAAAGCCTAAACTAAAGGATAAGTCCTTATTCTTTAGGGACGCGATAATACTTAGATACTAGAACTACGGCTAGCTCGGGTATATAAAGTATATATATTCTAACTCGTAACCAAAAAAATAGATACTAATATAATAAACGTAGCTATCGTATTGAGTTAGGTTTAGTCATTAAGTATTACTACGGAATAACGCTATATGAGTATTAGCGTGACTATTAAGGTTGATAGGAAGAGCCACTAGCTACGTACTCTTATAGATAGTGGTGCGTAAGACGATTTTATATCGTAATCCACTATTATTAGGCTCGGCCTAAAGGGTAGGGCGCTAGACGTATTCAGAAAGGCGGTAGATGGCCGGTAATTAACTATCTATAGACGCTATGACCTTAAGGTCCAGATAGTGGACAATAAGGGTCGCCGAACGAGTACTAGACTAGATCTCCTTGCCATAAAGATTAAGGATTTTGACATAATCCTAGGTATAAGATAGCTTAGAATAGTCAATCCTAATATTAATTTTAAGGAAGGCACTTAGGTCGTCCGAGACCTAGTTATAGTGCGTATTAGTACTATCTTGATTAAGTAACTGAGGAAAGAAAAGGGGTCGATCTACGTAATGTAGTATCACCTAGTAGAATATTCTTAATCAACTTCCTACCTGAATCGGGAGGGGAAGTGCTCTTTATACTGTCTGTCCCTTTTCAAAGGCACTGCCGGCGGTATACCTAATCTATACCGTGAGTACGAAGATATAGTATAAGACCCTAGGGATATAGGAATACCTCCTATATCGAGGGTCGAATATAGTATCGAGCTAATGCCTAGGACGACTACTCTATATAGGCCTATCTATCTATTAAGTGATAGAGAGCTCGAGACCTTGAGAGAATACCTCGATATAGCTATCGCAAAAGGGTAGATCCGTAGGAGTATCTCTCCTACTAGTACCCCGATCCTATTCGTCCCTAAGAAGAACGGGACCTTACGTCTCTATATAGATTATAGAGAGCTAAATAAGGTTATAATCAAGAATAGATATCTATTACCCCTTATTTCTGAGATCCTTAATCGTTTAGTAGATACGAAATACTTCATAAAG